TTCCACCAATACTCATAGACAGAGGGATCAAGTCTATTGGTAGGGGCAGAGGCAGGTTTCACTTCCTAAAATAATGGGAACAATTGTATATATAATAATTAATAATTCCATTTTACAAACCTTGTCCATGCTAAATTGATAGTTCGGCTTGGATGTATAGAGAGAAGGGGAAGGATTTTATAGCTCTGTGAGGGCTTTATGATGTTCTTTGGATTATAACAGAATTCCTCTGCTTCAACTTGAGGAGTGAACGAGAAATACAATTTTGGTTGTGGTGGTCCAGCGTTAAGTCATTCTACAAATTTTGGTTGTGCTTATGTGTTTGAGGTTGGTGATGGTCGGATGGGGGTATTGATGTTGGTGATGTGGTGATGGGGGTATTAATGTTGGTGATGGGTTTAAGTTTGGAGTTGTTGATGGTGGTTATAGTGACGGTGGGTGTAGGGGATTTAAGCGTCTTCCTTCCATGGTTGTTTTGCCGGTGGCGTAGATGCATGTGGGTGGTAGTGGTAGGTGGGTGTAAGGGTATAATGGTCATTTAAGCAACCTGATATTTTGGAATAAATGGGATTAAAAAATTAGGGGAAAATTTGTCTTTTCCCATGGATTTAACGGAGCATTTAACAGAAAAACAAAAATGGACCTAAGTGACAGTTATTTTCGAAAGAAGTTTGAGGGTGAAAAATGGCCAAATCTGAAGGAGTGTGAGTGAAATTATCCCATATATATATATAGATCTCGTAAATTTGTAAGGACAAAAAGGATCGAGCTGCCCAATGATGGAAAAACATGCCAGCATCTATAAAAGGTTATAAATTTATAAATAAAATGGAGCACATTCTTTTTTGGTTGGACTCACTTATTCACCCTCAGCTAAAATAAAAAAATTCAATCAACTGATTGTATTAAGAAATTCAAGCAACTTCAGCTTTTACTAGATAGAGTAAATATTTGTGCTCCATCAAATAGAGGGGAGGACAAGAATAAGCAAAACCAGGAGATCAACCCTTAACAAAATGACGAACTTTCAACATCTACAACATTAATTTCAAAATCCTTCTATTCTAATAAGAAAAATAATAACTTTTTCATATTTCAGGAATCAATTTATGTTTGTTACACATCCTTTCAGAAATCAAGTTAAGAATAAAATAAAGAAATCAAAATAGGATAAAAAATAAAATAAAAATTTTATACCATTTGAAAACATACATGTTACAAAAAGGTGACGAAAATAGATTCTATAACTGTGCCTAAGCTCATAAAGTTACACCATCCTCCACTTTTCTCCCAAGTCCTAAAAAAGTTTAAAATAAAGGGGTGAGCACCACCACTCAGTAGATTGTGCCTAATGCAAGACTCCTAAAGCCCTGTGAGTAAACATATAAAGAAAGGGAGGTCAAGATAGGAGGATCATACTATTGCGGGGAAAAAATAACGGAATCAACTATACATGACATTAGCAACAATATACATGTAACAACTTAATCACATTCACACACATACAAGTCCATCACAAGACTAATAATGCAATCAATGCTTATGCCATAAATCTTCCCAAACTAGTTCTATGATCTCATCCTACACACAAATACACTTTCCCAACTAATCTATCTCACTACACAAATTCACACTGGAGGCCTCAACTCCAAATGGCACAAGTCCACCGTTTGTCCACCATTTGGCTCATTGACTAGCTATCCCTGGTGTAAGAGCACCGCTCATCATCATTTGGGGTCTAGCTACCGAAATCTCGGAAGCAAGACTACCACTTGTCTTCCTTTCATCACAAATTTTCCTCAATTCGAATCTCATTTTTCTCAAATCACCCTTTCATTCATACATTCTCTACCCAATGCATGAGCTAAAAATACATCAATGAATGCTCGTCTTCCAACTTAAAATGACTAAACTCCTAGCTAGCTTCTTGAAATGAATATGCCGTCCAATAACATCAAAATCTCATTATACAAACATGCTTAAATCAAAACAAAATTTAACCATTTACTTGACATAATCACATTATCTCATATTAAGCATGCTTTATCACATTAGAGTAAAGTTCCAAATTATGGTATGTACAACTTCATAAGTTATATAAATTTTTACTCATAATTCACTATTTAGCACATACATAACACAATTCCTATAATTAGGCATGCTAGCAAATCATCTAAACAATCATTTTAGCATGTTGTTGGCACAAATTTATCATATGGATCATGCTTGTCAATTTCCCACATAGATGGTATAATTTCTACACAACTAAACATCACATAGGCATGGTTATAACTAGAATTTCCATATAGCCTATCTAATGATCAAAATACGGCATTTATAGCATGGTAATATATGCAAATATCACACAATAACTCACAAATTACCTAGAACTCCATGAATTAAACACCCTATCTCAAATTAGGATAAAAATCCTAATCCCACCGAAACCAAAATACTCCCCTTGCGAAACCGGCTCTGTAGGATGAAAGAGGAGGTGAAAGAGATCGAATAATCCTTCTACGGCGCCTCCAAAATCTGAACTTTGCCTTCACCCAAAATCTCCAAAATGCTCCAATTAAAAACCAAGACCATAGGCACGTAACTCTCATCACGCTCGTCAAACTTCCCTTCTACAACGCCGCTAAAATCTCACCCGAACTAGATGAAATTCATGTCTGAAGCATGTAAAAAGGAAAATATAGGAAAAGAAAGAAAATGATGGGAGAGAGAGAGAGAGAGAGAGAGAGAGACCTCAGTTAAGAGAGAGAAAGAAGTGGAATTGTAGCCAAAAATGATTCTAGGTACAAAAGCCAAATATGTGGGTCCTGCCTTCCACTTAAATGCTTAAAACAGTCCATTTAAGTTCTGAACACTCGCAAATGACTCAATGCAGTGCAAAACGGACAATCCCAATGTAAACGAAGAACGCAATGATGTCGAGAAATTTCCCGAACACGAAAATCTGCCATAGGCCCACTTGGCACCTCTTGGGCATGAAAATCGAAACTGACCGAAATGAACCCAAATAAGGTTCTAAGGGTTCTAAACCCAAAAAAATGTCCCAACAACTACCGGAACACTATGGCACGCATCCCCGTACACAAATAAAATAAAACAAAAAATGGCCAAAAAAATACCAAAAAACACAAGACATCACAGATCAGGACTCAGTTATTAGAAACAAAGCAAGACTGGTGTGCAAATGGTATACTCAACTAGCTGGTATTGACTATAATGAAACGTTTGCTCCTGTGGTAAGAATGGAATCCATCAGAATGCTCCTATAATTTTCTTGTCACAAACAAGTCAAAGTTTACCAAATGGATGTGAAATTTGCCTTCTTGAATGGTGAACTTAATGAAGTAGTTTACTTAGAACAACCTGAAGGTTTTGAAGATCCATAGCTCTCCTCCCATGTGTTTAAACTAAACAAGGCTTTGTATGGTCTTAACCAAGCCCCTAAAGCTTGGTATGAAAAGTTACATAATTTCTTGGTTGAACAATAAATTCATAGAGGCAAGGTGGAGAACACTTTATATGTCATAACTTATCATGATCAATTCCTCAATTCCTCATTCTTCAAATTTATGTTGATGATATCATGTTCTGTGGCTCAGACACTTCATTAACCTCAGAACTTGTCAATCTAATGAAGACAAGGTTTGAAATGTCTCTTCTATGGACTCTTAGATACTTCTTAGGCCTTCAAATACATCAAACATCCACAGGAATCTTCATTTCTCAAGAGAAGTATGCGAGCTACTCAAGAAGTTCAACATAGCTGAAAGTAAGGTTATTTCTATACCTTTGTTCCCTAACACCAAGCTTACACTTGAGTGTACCACAGAAGCTGTCCTTTCAACCCTTACCATGCGAGAGACGTGAGGGGTTGGTGGCGAAGAGAGAGGGGTATGAGGTGCGAATTTAAGATTTGGGAGAAAGGAGTTGCCGGAATTTGGTCGAAGAAGGGCGCGGGGAGTGTGGCATCTATAAGCTTGCCATTTCATACTACATCTTGGAGTGAATTGCTTCCTGGCATCCAGAAAAACTTTATGCATGAAAGTTGCTGGCCAGCGATTGCTCAACTTTTCGAGCGCAATGCAATGGTGGTGGTTCCTGCATGTGTTATGTGTTGTGTGTGTGTGTGTGTGAGAGAGAGAGAGAGAGAGAGAGAGAGGGTATAAATGTTACTTAACATTTTTTATTTTTTTATTTTTATATTATGAGTCGAGATAAATTAGTAATTGTACATCAACAGTTGTCAGAAAGTTATCGGCTGTCTCTGCCAAGGCGCAGTTTTGAAAGTACTATGAGTGACTTGCTCACTTTTGTTTAATTGAGAAGAGTAATTTGCTCATTTACTGAAAACTCAAGAGAGTATTTTGCACTTTTGCCAAAAAAAAAAAAATTTATTTCCCTTCTTTAAAGCCATCATAGGGTAGTATCATGACATCACCTTGGGAAGAGCAAATTTAAGATGAGGGCTCCTCAGTGAGCTCGTGGCACTCTCATAGTCAAATCTGGTGAACTTTTACGTCATGAACTGAACTGAACAATCCAATTTTGATGAGGCACAAAATCACTAACACTCTCAATCTTATCGTTAGCCTTTTAAAATCACTCAATCACTCAACACTAATAATGAAAATAGATGTTAGTGTGCTCATACGTGTATGTGTGTGTGAGAGAGACAAATCACAAAAGTAGAATCTCATGACTTCTCATCCCCTAAGCCGGCCAGGTTGAATGAAACGGCCCCAGATGGCGAAGTATGAAAAGAAAATCCTTAAAGACAACACCACAAATAGAAACATCCAAATACCACACTGGACGGACGCTCCTCAACCGTTGGATCCCAATCAGCCAACCAATGTCCACCGTTCATCATCACGGCAACCAAAGGGCACTTACGTAATCTACCATACACACATGCTAATCACAGCCGTTGGATCATTTGCAGGCTTTCACATGGCTGTATAAATAACTTCCAAACTCCCATCTCTCACTCAAGCCCTTCCAAGGAGATTCACCAGCAGTTAAAAAGTTCTAACTTCCCAATTTTACCCTGATCACCTACCCTCTTAAGCCAAAATGCGTGAGATTCTTCACATTCAGGGAGGGCAATGTGGGAATCAAATTGGATCAAAATTCTGGGAAGTTGTATGTGATGAGCATGGCATTGATCCCACCGGCAGGTACAGTGGGAATTCCGAGCTACAGCTGGAGAGGGTTAATGTATACTTCAATGAAGCGAGCGGCGGCAGGTATGTGCCACGAGCCGTGCTCATGGACCTCGAACCGGGGACTATGGACAGCGTGAGGACCGGGCCCTATGGACAGATTTTCAGGCCTGATAACTATGTTTTTGGGCAGTCAGGGGCCGGAAACAACTGGGCTAAGGGCCACTACACTGAAGGTGCCGAGCTTATCGATTCGGTGCTCGATGTTGTGAGGAAAGAAGCAGAGAACTGTGACTGCTTGCAAGGTTTGTCTTGTGATTTTTAAAACTGAACTATTACAATATCATTTCAACTATGCTATCAGTTTGTCATCAATGTTATTATATTAGATAAGAAATTCACTGCTAGCCATGTAGGTAAGAGGTTGACATTGGGCAAACGTTCTAGGTTTGACTCTCAAATTATACAAAATACTGTACCGCACATATCTAAAGTTTACATCCTCTTATACCAAAGGTCACTAGATTGAAAGTGTTACTCGTTATCAGGCACGAACCTAGGCAATTCCCCCATTGGCTTTTTCCCTTTTTTTTTTTTTTTTTTTTTTTTTTTTTTTTTTGGGGTATTTTATATCTATTGTCTTTTCTTTTTTGTATTCAATACCTATAAAATTTTAAAATTGTTCCCACTGAAATTAAAGAACCTACTATTCCCCCACAACATAGGTCCTTACATAATTTTTTGGGTCTGTTCTGCTCCGGAAAAAAAAAGTTACTACATATTTATATAGTCATAATTTGGTTATCAATGCAGGATTTCAAGTGTGCCATTCCCTTGGAGGTGGAACTGGTTCAGGAATGGGGACTCTGCTCATTTCAAAGATTAGGGAAGAGTATCCCGATCGAATGATGCTCACATTCTCTGTCTTCCCATCTCCAAAGGTGTCGGACACTGTCGTAGAGCCTTACAATGCTACACTTTCTGTTCATCAGCTGGTGGAGAATGCCGATGAGTGTATGGTCCTCGACAATGAAGCACTCTATGATATCTGCTTCAGGACTCTCAAGCTCACCACCCCAAGCTGTAAGTGCTCTAAAAGCCACAAACAACAATTTTCATCTCACACTCTCATGTCTTGAGCTTCATGTAATAGAATGTGCTCTTATAACTCTGTTGCTCATTGTTTCTATTTTTTTTCTGTAGTTGGGGATTTGAATCATCTGATTTCAGCAACAATGAGTGGAGTAACTTGTTGCTTGCGATTTCCGGGGCAGCTGAACTCAGACCTCCGAAAGCTAGCAGTGAACTTGATCCCCTTTCCGCGGCTTCACTTCTTCATGGTGGGTTTTGCTCCTCTGACCTCCCGAGGCTCACAGCAGTACCGCGCCCTCTCTGTCCCTGAGCTGACACAGCAAATGTGGGATGCCAAGAACATGATGTGCGCAGCTGATCCACGACATGGGCGTTACCTAACAGCATCGGCTCTGTTCAGAGGCAAAATGAGCACCAAAGAAGTGGATGAACAGATACTAATTGTACAGAACAAAAACTCTTCCTATTTTGTCGAATGGATCCCAAACAATGTCAAGTCTAGTGTTTGTGACATCCCACCAAAAGGGCTTTCCATGGCTGCAACTTTCATTGGGAATTCGACTTCTATACAGGAGATGTTCAGGAGGGTGAGTGAGCAGTTCACCGCCATGTTTAGGAGGAAGGCCTTCTTGCACTGGTACACTGGAGAAGGAATGGATGAGATGGAATTCACGGAAGCCGAGAGTAACATGAATGATCTTGTGGCAGAGTATCAGCAGTACCAGGATGCTACAGCTGATGAAGATGGTGATTATGAAGATGAAGATGATGGCAGCACTAACAACTGAAGGTGTTCTTCCTATTTGCTGTTACGTATGCTGCGTGCAGCAATAAATCGCTAATGACTTCAGTGAATCACTAATGATTCTGTGTTTCAGTGCACTAGATTTTAGCAGAAGCATGTCCTGCTTTCCTGCTTTTCCTTTTCGGTAACTTTTGTTCTTCTCGGAAAATAAATACTCTTCCCTTCCATCAGATTGCAGTTTTTGTGTCTTTTGCAACTTATCTATAATGAGCAGATTTGTAATATTTGGAATGCATCACCTATATATATATATATATACATGTCATATAATTCAAGGACCTAACTATGTGAAATTCTTTTTTATAGATAAGTCCAACCTCATGACTCCTGAAAAGTTGTTGCTTTGGTCTGTTTATTGTGAATGAATCATGCCTTGGAATAAAGTAGCAATTGTATCTACAAAGAGTAATTGTAATTTTATCTTCATGATAAACAAAAATGAAGGGAAAAACTTCATGTTTTCGAGCAAATCTTCACTGCATCAAAACAAAATATTAGATAATTATGTTCCATTTTTCGAATGCAGTGTCATTCGGGAAAATCACAGTAATATAAAGCTCTCTTTTTGGCATATGTTAAAATAGTACAGATATACCTTCAGTTCAGACTGAATCCGAAGCTGAAATCTACTGCACAAACTAAACCAATTCGGGTTTTACTGTGATTAACTCCAAGGAATTTTGATACATCATGTTCTTAGGTCAATAATTTTCATTCCTGCATTTGATAAAAGAGACATTTATATATATACACACACACACATAGTAAGGACACAGATTGTTGATGTTCTGAAAATGAATACAAACAACCTCCTTTTGCCTAAGAAATCGTTTGAAGTGCCAAACATCAAACAAAATCTGCCAAGACCTGGACTAAGAAAAAGCAAACACAGCTCACAAACCAAATCTAAATTTTATGCTAATAAAATTTGACAGTGGCTTCATTGGCTGTCAACTCTCTGTTTTTGGTTGATCCCTAAAACAAATTAATGTGAGTTCCTACAAACAAGTGTACTGAAAGAACTGTCTCACAATTGATTGATGAATTCTGTTTGAAACCCGAAGAACCCAAAATTTCTCCACAAACATTTGCAGAGACTAAAAACATAAAATGAATTTCAACTTATTGAGAAACATAATTTCTATCCTCACTAGTAAAATCACACGAGCTTGAAGTAAATTTTCGATTGGCTTGAAGTGAATCTCAATTTTTCCCTCTTGTGAGTTTCTTACTGTTGACTAGCTTCTCCTTAGCATCATCTTTAAGTAAATATTGTGTGCCTTTTTGTGTGTGGCATTTGAAGGGTGCAACTTGGGCTGCCCAGCCCAACGTCAACCCCACTTCGGGTTGGGTTGGGACAACCCGATGTACATCAAACCTAGGCTTCAATATGTGAGACCCAATTCGAATATTCACGGGTTGGGTGGGTCAACTGGTCAAGCCATTTTTTCTTTTTCTTTTTTTACACACATATTCACCACAATTGATCCTTAAAAAAAATATTATGGAAAATGATTCTTGTACCGAATAGTTGTAGTGAATTGCTAGACCTACTCATTTAATTGGCCAATTATGCAACAAATAAGGAAGTTGAACCCTCTACTTAGTTGTATGTGGTATAAATAGTCAATTAAAAATTATTCGGTTAGACAATTCATTACAAGTGTTCGGTGTGAGTACCACTACTCAAATATTATAGGTTAATCTTAACCGTCCATTCTTGCATCTAAAGGATCTCATCAAACCCTACAAACATTCAGCCCCTCTTTCTTTTCTCTCAAACAAGAGAAATAAAAAGATTTGAAATCTTCAATTTGAGTTTCAAAAATAGTTGACCGAATTTTAAAAAAAAAAAAAATCACTACCCACCCCCAAACACACAATCAAAGCCAAACAACACAACCGCTTATCTGCATCATTCAATACTCTTCGCCATCAATCAATTTAGAGATCTGTTTAAAAAAATCACAACCAAACAATAACCTTTGTCTACAATTTTTTTTCCATCACCCACTCCCAACCACACCATCACAACCAAACAAAACCCTTTGTCTTACAGTCCTTTCGGTGGGGGGTTGCCAAAAGGACTACAAGTAGTTACAGTTTTATGCCAAAAAAAAAAGTTAAAAAATCAAAATCGGGGTGGATGGGTTGGGATCGAGTTACAACAGTTCTAACCTAAGGCTAACCTGAATTGGGCCCAAGTTGAGAATTTTCAACCCAATCCCAATCCAAGCTTCTAAAAATGCAAGCCCAACCCAAAAAATTTCAGGTTGGGCTGGACTAACCCGCTCAACTTGCACCCCTAATTTGAATGCTCAAAAAATTAATATTGAATATTATGCTTCCAACTAAAATAAAAAATAAAATAAAAAATTTGTAACCAAGCAAAATGGTAACGAAATGTTCATTCTATCACTAGATTCGGTACGATCTGAAGGAAAATTACACAAGCCTCACTAGCCATGGGCGCGAATCCTCTGAAGTGCATTTTCTATGCGGTCCCCTACAATGTCTTATAAGTAGTCTATATTTGACCATGTGTTTCTTCATTTAATAGCTCCTAAGACTATGTTTGGCAATTATATCACCATTTATGAGTAACATTTCATCACAATTTATAAGTAACATCATAAGAGTCTAAAAAGTAACACCACCATTTGTAAGAGGTAACATCACCACTTAAAATAAAAGTTGTTGACAGCCAAATACCTCATAAAGTGAAAACTATCTTCACCCTCAAAATAAGGTATGCACATAATGCAGATTAAGTAATGTTACATATAAACGTAACTCAATTCAACATATGATTTATGTTATTATTTGAAATTAAAGTATTTTAAAAACACTTTAACATGTTAATTTAAAGAATTTAAACCAAAAGTAAAGTCACTTGGATTAACTTTAGACAACAAAAAAAATACTAGATATTTCCAAAAATAATGAAAAGAGCCACATTTTTTTTTTCTTTCAAATATTTAAAAAAAAAAAAAAAAAAAAAAAAAAAAAAAAAAAAAAAAAAACCATACACTTGGATAAATTATTTAACATATCTTTGAAAAAAATGTGGCAAAGTTTAATATTAATTGCCACACTCACCACCATCACCATCAAAAAAAGGTATTCACATAGTGTTAAAAAACTAATAATCACACATAAATCTAACTCAATTCAACATGGTGATGTTATATATATACTGGTGTGTCGCCGTACCACAAGCTTAAAGAATGTGCAATTTTAGGCGAGGGACAAGAGTTTTACATTTATAAAAGCCACTACTACCTTTCACTATAAATATAGCTAGGGCGAGTAGGGATCGTCTCAAGGGATTGTGAGGGTCGAACAAGGTTGTGGAATTGCTATTAGGGCTAGTAGGTCGAGTGATCAAACAAATGGTTGGTTGGTTGATTAGACTAGAGAGCAACTAAATTAAACTAAGTAACAACAAAAAAATGCAACTAGGAATAAATAAGAGAGAGAAGAGTCTTGGGGTTTAGAGATCACCACCAAGTAATGCATTTCTATACCATTGACAAGTGATTAATGAGGGCAAATGGTGTGTTGCAATATTGGTGTGTGTGTGTGTTTGGTTGATTCAATAAGTAAGGATGACTAGTTAAGCATGTATTGTCTAAACATCATGTGAAAGGCACAATATATCTAAGCAATAAAGCATATATTGTCTAAACAACATGTGAAAGGCACAATAGATCAAAATAAGTCATTAATCCTTTCATTAAGTTCACAATCCAAATACAACACAAGATTAGAGACATATGCTACTTGCATTCAAAAGCTTGGATCATCAAACAACAAGCATGGATTGTCCTCCCATTTAACACTATACTACAACTACACTACATCTACATTACTAGCATGAAAATAAATTAAGGGAGAGGCACAATCCATCAAGGAATAAGTATGAACCATCAAGAAAATCACAAGAGCATTCCATTAAACACTATATTTTGAAAATCTCTAAATCTATAGCATCAATACACATAGATATGCATCAATAACACTAAATCTAGAGACAAGTACATAAGCATCTATTCCAACATACATAGACATATGGATAGAATGAAATGATCAATTGGAAGCATTTAACTACATAAATCATTGAACAATCAAGATCTATATATATCAAAGTGTTAAAACATTAATTATAACACTAATCCCTCAATAATACACAAGATTAAGATAAAGAAAGCATGCTTGGGGCTAACTCTAACCCCAAGAGGATGTCTAGCCACTTATGGTTGTAACGACCCGATCATTTGCCTTCCTTTCCTTTTTCCTGAAATTTTACGAATGAATTTTTTTCGTTTAAATTTCTTTTCTGAGCTCTGTTTCGTGTCGCTTAGTGTCATCTCGAGTGCTCAGAATTGGTTCCTGAGACTCTTTTTCATGGATTGACAACTTCCTTTGAGGATCGAGTCATTTTCACATTTTTCGTTTTTCGATACTATGCACTATTTCGTCCTTTTCCCTATTCTGTCTTATCTCCGTTTGTCAATTTTTGGTACAACCTCACTTCTCATGCTTGGAGTTGGTTTTTGACTTCACGTGCCTTCATCTTGAGTGGTTTTCTCGAAATACATATCTTTACTTTTGCAAGAAAGTACTCTAGTTGCTCCCGGTGTCTATAGGGGCATGGATGCAAAGTTCTTTGAAATTATTTTCTTTTCTTGGGGTATTTTTCGTAAATATCTTTTGAAGATATTTTATTTCAGGGGTTTTTAAGAAAATATTTTTGGAAGATATTTTCATTCTGGGCCATAAGTGCAGTTTTCACTTTTTGGAGGGGCCATTGTGCAATTAATGAAAGTTATTGCAAAATGTCTTGTTTTGAGCTTGAATCCTTGTACAGGATTCATTTTCACATTTCGTTAAGTTGTGTACTCTTGGAATTTCCTCCTGGTCGATATTTTCCAGTTTCAGGGTTTCTGGCCCCTGTTTTCGCCAAACTTGTTTTGGGTATAACTTTCTGGTCGGGACTCAGTTTCTGACGCCGTTTCTTCTGTTGTTCATATTTTATCATTTTAAATCTTTTTTGTTCACAAAGTTTTGCCATTTGAGCACGTCTGCTCAAATTTTACTTTTTCGGACCCGGCGGGGCCCGTTCGGGGCACTTTTTGAGATTTCTATAAAAGGGGGGTGAGATA